AATTATTTATTAGTATTTCGCTCATTTGCATCTTATTCTAACACTCAGAGAGAGCCAAAATTTAATTACTGTTCCTTTTGTCACTTAACTACTCCACAAATTTTCATCCGAATCCGTTCGTACTTTTTTTGAGTTATCCTGCTGACAAACAAACCAACGCCAGTGAAAACAACCTTCGGCGGAGGGTAATAAAAGCTTATACAAAATATACATTATGTTTATACAACAAGGTCCGTTTTAAATGGCAATTGTGTTGTGTGAAAACCTGGAGATGAATTGTGACAACGTGTTAGAGTATTGTTTATATAATGGTATATATCAACGTTACTTGTGTGTCATTCTTAACGTTATGAAATTATAAAGGTCATATTCATTTATAGATATTTTTTAAAAAGGCTCATTATATTTCTTTAGTTTTTGTGCTATGTATACAACGTTTTTACTTCTATATTAAAAGAAAAACTATACACTGTTATATCCATCAGTGTAAATATCAAATATCTTTATTTGCTATATATATATATATGTATACATAAATAGATATAATATATATATCAAGAAAAACGAACCAGAGTACCAGTCGGCCCGTCCGGTTCTGGTTGTTTTTTGAAAACTCAGACGGCTCAGTATCTAAAAATCAACGGGTACCTGGAAACATCGATCATAGCGCCCTCTAACTAAGACGTTGTTAACATTCGCAAAAATTGTTGTTCGTCATTCTGAAAGTCACGACGTTTTTTAGAAAATAATTGTCCCATCAAAAAGGATGTAAAAATAATTAAATATTATAAAGTAGTGTTGGAAAAATTATTTTCTAAAAAACTTTTAGAGTGACGAACAACAATTTTTCGCAAAATATAACCCACACAGCCATTGTCATTATAACAAGGCCTATTCCTAACGAATAAAAGTTTTAAATTATATAAAAAACACGATTTGAAGTTAAGGGAAACAAAAAAAATATAAGACAAAGACCACAAGGAAAATTTATAGATATTGACAGTTATGTAAATGTTACGTAATTAAATATGATAAAATGGCAGGCTGATGAACCAATCATGGATGAAAATCTAAGTTTGCTCATTTGAAAACCAATAAACATGATTAAATAATCCTTTTACGATTGCATGAATAAAAAATATTGGATACACATGCGTGGGGCCTTGAAAATCAATGGATATCTTATATATTGTCATATATGCATGGTTTCATAAAGTAATTAAGTTTTTACTATTATTTTCAAGTTCCTCCTTAGATTAGAACTCTATTAACCCCAGCACGTTATATTTCCATGATACCAGGATATTAGGAAAAATGGTCGCAATGAAATTGAAAGTAATGAAAAACAGACAACTAGGAGAAATTTATATAGGTAATCAAGCATTATGGACCCACTTTAAAAATATATCAGTCCTAAACAAACACTAATTAATTACCTTAATGTAACAGGTACTTATTGTTCTAAATCACCATTAATTGAATATTTTAAAATTAAAAACCTTACTCGAGTCTTCAAAATCATCCAATATCATGGAAATGTTATGACATATTTTTTGTATTTATTTTAAATATTTTTTGCAATTTATTCTAATATAATATTACATTTTTTTTAAACACTCATTGCAATTTGTTTTACAATCCTCTGTGCTATTCATTTTAAAATATTAATTTAATTTTTTTATCATTGTAATTTTTTAAAATAGTTATTACAGTGAATTTCAAATGCTTCTTGCAATTAAATCTACAATTGTTATTGATTTGATTTTTAAATAGTTATTGTAATGATTTTATACGCTTATTGCAAATTGTTTTGAAATAATAAGTGCTTGAATTTAAAGATACATTTCAAAATTATTGATTTTTCTCTTTCAAAACTCAGATATGCAAACGACATTTTACCCATTAATTTCCACTAACAGTTACAGTATTGTTTTATTTTAGTTTTATAAGTTTATATATTCTGGATATCGTATAATTTTATATATATGTATATATATATATATATTATATATATATATATATATATAACTGAATAAACAAAACAGTTACAAATCAAATATAAATGTGGACTGTACATAAAATCTCAATTAAAAATATAAGCCTAAAAATGACTTATGTTGGAGGGCCTGAAAAATAGTGTCATTTTAAACTTAATCAAAATAGTTAATAACTGAGGACCATCTACAATTACCTCTAGATAGGTTTTTCAAATATAATGTAGAAATACTCGTTAATAATTCCAAGTCTTTTTATACGTATGCATACAAAATAAAATAAAATTCACCCAAGCTTTTTGTAGCACCTTGCTACATATTTGAACTCATGTTGTTGGCTTTTTTTCTGCACCTTGGGAAAGTATCAAATTTCGGACCTCTTACAAATTCACGTACTCTATCCCCCCATGCCACGTTTCTCGTGTTTTGACTGACTTGATCTTTGTTATTACTTTTTCAAATAAATCATTTTTGTTTATTATTAAATTAAATAAGACGTCATCTTACTCCTCAGGCTAATCCATTGAGTTGATTCATATCTTATAGGCAAAAGATGGCCCTACTAGCCATCACCAGTCATTCATGATTTTGATGGCTGTGATATAGGCGACTGGCCAATCACGTTAAGTAAATATTACTAAGGGACAAAAAGTAATATTAAACAATCTTACACTTTTAAGAAAAAAGCGCTCTCTATGAATATTCTATAGCTTCAGACGATACATAGTGATGACGAAATTGAATAGCTTTTGACCCCCAATGAACTTGGAGGTAAAATATATTTAATTTATACTCTCTTTAACCTTAATCCAATGTCAATAAAAAAAGTGCAGAGAAATTTCAAAGAAAATGTAGTAAATAATATAATCCCCACTTTTTATTTGATTATTGATAGGCAATGTTGAAAAAAAAACCTGATACTTTGCAGCTATATCAAAAACAAGCAGATCATGGATGAGCGGTTATAGCTGTTGGGAAAATGTTTTATAAATGAGGGCCATATTCTTTGAACAACAACTGTTAATCACAAGAATATTAATATTAATACTTACACAACTTGCAAAACCACAGCCAAATATGTATGAATTTATATATCATGATTAAGATGTTTGAGGCAACAAAGAGCATAGCTGATTGTGTTTTTGGGTAAGAATGCCTTTTATGGGGAATAATCTACTGATAGACAAATATGGTCCTCTGGCAGACATTATTATGTTTTGAAGTAATAATAATAAATTGTGAGCATTAAACGTATCTAAAAATATTGATACAAACTGAGAATCCCTTGCAGAGTTAAAGTCTTAAGGAAAAAAAATGATAAACGACTTACCCAGTGACGTCATTGTAAGGGTTTACTTCTTTATGGCAAAATATAACATAGGATAACATCAAGAGAAATTGTATTACTGGATGTCCTTCTTTCTATTCCAAAACTACTTCTTTATTCACTAATTCCGTGTGTGTGTATAGTGAACTGTTTTTTTTCTCTGTTGATTATTCAGATATCATATAAGTCGGTGGTTATTGATTGTTAATTTCCCTTGAAATAAAGTTTTTTACACGGAATGAAGAAGAATAATTGTAGCAGTGTCACTAGAACACCCTTGCGGGAAATGTATTCCCATCAGTTGACGAACTAATTCTTTGTTATATGTCAATTACTGAGTCATGTAAGGCATGAGTTTGTAGGTTTATATTATTTGAAGGAGTATTTGAGTAATGTAATACTTATTTGAAGAAGAATTTGTAACATCGATTTTGATATCCGATAACCAATTTGTAATGATCAAAGTGAGAATGAGGAGATTAAACTTGAATCCTTGAAAAGTGTGCGTCCAAAAAATTTATGTGTTCTAGTTTGTTATACATATATTTTCACTGATGGTAGCTTTTACGAAAAGTCATTTATAGTCATTTATAAAACCGTCTCAACAGATTGTTTGAGCAGCAATGTAACGCCATGAATATCCTAATTGATTAAGGACCATGAAAACGTTCCAACTCCAAATCGTTTTTGCAGTATGAATTAATATAATATGTGACGAACTACGGAAAAGCGAACAGTATAAAAATAGGAATGTAGATGCAATTAAGCATGGGATATTGACTGATATTGATTCCCTTAACATTTCTCTCATAATCTAATACTATTCAAAACATACTTTTTCATTTCCCTATTCGACAAAAATTACTTTTGAGCGAATGTGATTTGATACATTTTGGGTTAGGATGTTGGACTTGTACACTATTCAAGGTCTTTTTGCCCACATGGAGTGTTTATTATTAGTGTGCCATTTAGAGATTGAGCCGATTCATGCCTTATTTCCTAGAGGAGGGACACTAATTATAGAGAGGGCATAGAGTTTTCATGATCTCAACTGTATGAATGAATAAGAGTGAAATGGTGTCAGATACTTAGATAATGTGCATGATCAATATTCGGGGAGAAAAGTAATTTTACATTTCGAGGCAGGTAAAGCTCAAGAAGCATGAGTTAGCAACAGTGGATTTTCATGAAGAGAAAAAAAAAGAAGAAACTCCTTACAACCATTGGGTTGAGTATTAAAATCTTGTTCACATCTGCCGGGTAGCTCAGTCGGTAAAGTTAGCTCACAGGAGTTATTTTCAAAATTTCCATTTCTAACACATGTATGGACCTATTTGCTCAAAATGTTATCATTATTTCTCTGATCACATATCGAAATAAGGTCGTCTTTTCCGTGTGCAAAAATATTATCTCGTAAAGGGTCCTCAGGGTGTAGATAGCATTATGTCTGGGTATGTTTATTTCCTTTGTCATGGATAGAGAAATGTCAGCATCCTTAATATTAGTATTTTATTAGCAATAATTGTTTGATGACATAAATGGGAAGAATGTCATTACAAAATGTTTTAAAAATCACCGGCAAGTAAATAGTCAACTCTCTTGTGGTTGTATGGGCGTACCTGTTTTCAATACACCCAAGGGATGAATATTACATTTTACTTCAGTATTTAAGGATAAAAAACATGCCCGGGTGAGGCTCGAACTCACGGCCTTCAGATTATGAGACTGACGCGCTGCTACTGCGCTACCGAGGCTTATGATAATTATGAAGGCTATGTTTATATAAATTCTTGTATCCATTTTCTTTTCTTTTTGCAAATTCTGTTTGTGGAGAACATTATTGATTATATTTGATACTATACAACTTATCGTATGGATTTGAAATCAGACCTGCCAGCATCCATCCATACAACATACATTCGTAAATGAATTTGAACATAACTTTTTTCTAATTTAATCTAATAAATGTTCATAACCAACAAACATTTATGAGGCAGACACTCTAAAATTACATGCAGATTGTAGAAGCAAATATTGTTTTAAATATCCAAAATACAGATATACTCACTTTACTTTGTTTATTCAAAATATGTGAACAGAATGGGGAATTTTCTCAATCCTATGTTTACAAATTTAGGTTGTTGTGATGACGTCTCACACAGGCTGCCAACTGCATCCTGGAAGAGTATTAAATAGCAAATATTAAAGAAAAGAAAAAGAAAGAGAGAAAGAAGAGGAAAGAGTGATTGACGTCACAATCAACTATCAAACGTTATCCCTATGTTGTTCATTTCTCCGAGCCCCTTTTAAACTTTGGCATGTTTCTTATTTTCATTAACATATACCATCAATAAAGGATGAGTTATTATATTTAAATAAATCTCATAATAGGATATTTTAATATAGGAATATCAGTTTATTTCATAGGTAACAATAGGGAAACGTTCGATAGTTGATTTGTGACGTCAATCACTCTTTCCTCTTCTTTCTCTCTTTATTTTCCTTTCTTAATAGGTTGGCATATAATACTCTTCCAGGAATGCAGTTGGCAGCCTGTGTG